GAAATCAGCGTCAAAAACTGCACCAGACAATGTGCGTATGAAGTTATTTAGAGACAAAAAGTTTTCCACACTTTTTTTCGATTTTTATTTTCCAAGTCTGACCAATTTTTGCTCGAAAATTTTTTGTTCCAAATATTACCTTATTTTTGTTTTAGAATGAAATCTTGATGCCTAAAATCTTAAAAAACTGAAAGAACGATGTCAGTCAGCCGTCTTGTTTTCAACTTGTTCAAACAAAGTTTTTTAGCTCAGTTTGTAGAAAATTGAGTTTTCTATCTGATATTACCTTCGTATTTCTAGGAAAATTCTGTTTGAATGCCCAAAAGTGGGTTTTGGTAGAAAAAATTGAGATGTGAAAATCAATCCTTCACTTGATGAACCTCTTACAACATCAGTATTGAGTTTAGAAAAAGAGAAGGCATCTGATTTTGTTTAGTTTTTGATAGTCTTTCGAATGAGACTTTGCTCGATTAGAACGGATAAAAAATGACGCAGTTATATCGAAAATATGAGACAGTGCTCATTTTTGCGATTCTTAGATACACCTCATTTTGATAACTCTGTAACTCGGTCAAAATAAAGTCTGGAAGTGAACAATTTTTTTCGTCACCCCAGTTTGATTGTAGAATCTGAAAATCAAATAAAAATCATATGTCAACTTTTTTGCATATTACGCGTGTTTCGCAAAATACTCGCTTTCCTCGCGACTCTTAAAATCTTTCCAAACTGTTACCAAGGAAAGACTTTGACACTGACAACGGAGCGTTTTTCGGTGAACTCTTCCGATTTCGTTCCTTCACACGTCATTCGATAGAGTATATTGAGATAAGAGAAAACCTAAAAGAGTTCGATCCCATGGCTCTTTAAGGTCCGGTTTTCTGTAAAACCATTTTTTCAGAAACTCTGAAAAACAACCAAAACCTTTCTTAATGAGCCATGATTGTAGACTGCAACTTTCTGATTAAAATGAGATATCTCCCAGCTCTTCACGACCTTTCTTTACAAAGTTATAGGGTTCGCACGAGAAGCCCTAAATGTTCACTCTCAACGCAAAGTTACAGAAATAAGAAGAAATTAATTTATGGCTTTTCGTGTGAATTTTATAACTTTGTAAAGGTCATGTAGAGCTGGGAGATGTCTCATTTTGATCAGAAATTTGCGGGCTACAATCGTAGCTCATTAAGAAAGGCTTTGGTTATATTTTTCAGAGTTTCTGAAAGAATGGTTTTACAGAAAACCGGACCTTAAAGAGCCATGGGACGGAACTCTTTTAGGCTTTCTCTTATCTCAATATACTCTATCGAATGACGTGTGAAGGAACGAAATCAGAAGAGTTCACCGAAAGGCGTTCCCTCGTGAGTCGGTTTTCCATCTATAACAAACTGATAAATGTGTTTACTTTTAATTTTCAATCTTCAAAACTTAGAAGAAATCAAAATGCAGTTGCTTCGTTCAACCACCTCCTTAAAGCTTACTTACAGCCAGTTAACTGGCCTTGTTCTACAAAGCAAAAGAATATAGCGAGCCTATGGCCACACACGACCGTAGAAAAGAAATGATCTAAATACTGTCGGTTTACAACCTTTTAAGTGTCTAACAACCACCTAAAAGCTGTCTGGTTTATTGGCCGTTTTAAGATCTTAAAAAAATACTGTGTAAAAACGGCCAGTATACGGTAAAACCAAAAGACAGCCAGTTAACTGGCTATGAATGGTGCGTTAACCGGCTATTTTTTGCCTTTTTCGTTTACTGGTCGTTTTTACCCAGTACTTTTTTAAGACCTAAAAGCGGCCAATAAACCAGACAGCTTTTAGGTGGTTGTTAGACAGTTAACACGTTATCAACTGGCAGTTTTTAGGCAAACTGTAAACTGGCATTTAGTGAGCAATTTATTGCCCGTCTTTTCCCTCCAGGGTAGAGTTACAAGCAGCAGAGGAAAGAAAGTAATTTTTTGAGAACAAAGTCGTTTAGTTAAACAAGGTGGACCATTTAAGTATAAAAGACAAACCTGATCCTGACTGCCATGTAAACATTAAACTAACTTCAACAGGTTCATCATTATTATTCTCAATGTACCATACGAACGACCCAACGGGTAAGGAAGAGTCCTAAAAATTCAGGAGTTTACATTACTTGGTCAGTTAGAAGAGAACTATTAGTAGTGAATCTACTTTGTATTCATGAGGAATAACCGGAGATAACTGTTTACATAACAAACGTATGTTTTGTCCCGGTAAATCATAAGTTGTCCATGATTGTGGATAAAGAGCATAATAATGCCCATTCTCGTTTGGAAAAGCACCGTGCCATGATTTCATGCCGTTTTTTCGCATGCGATACGGAATCAATACTTGAGTATAATAGGTTCTACAACGTCGTCGAACACAAACGGAAAACTAAATGAATGAAAAAAAAGAAACGCACTGCACTTCTTAAGTGACTACGAGCTAATGTCCATAAAACTGTCTAATCCCTACGTCCGCTTTCCGTAGGTGCTTAAAAATATACTTTACCGAATTTATTTCTACAGTTCGAAATTCATATAATCCTGGAACGAGTTGATATCGGCAAAATTCTCCTCGAAAACCCCTTCCAATTGTGCCACACCCGATACCACCAATAGGTACCCCTAAGAAACAAAACGTACATTAATATGGAAGAAAGGTTAAATTCGTTGAATTTATTAAACAGAGAAATTCAAACCGTATATTTGCTGCAATGGGACAGGATTAATAAAATCCATATGAGGTCTTCTTTTCAATTTTTTGATACGAAAATAGTATTGCAAATATCTAAAAATAAGGACAGAGCAGAGAACTTACAAGTATTATTTCAAAATAATCTAAACATGCAGTTTTTACTCAAACAAACCTAACAAATAATGGTGCATATTCTAAAATTTGTGTAGCTCGTGGTCGATCAAAAGGCTTCCAACGTGGATCGAATTGCTTGTCAAATTGAACATGCCAGTTATATTCAGGTATCAAATTTACTCTGTCGGTATTAGCTTTTTGAACCGATAATGTTGATGTGAGTGACGTGCTCATTTATCTAAAATATACGAAATAACAAGTGCTTTTGATCTTTTTAAAGATAATCAACATCATTGAACTAGATTTTTAACAAGATTTACAGCGTATCTATGCAAACTTCGAGATACTCTAAACCAATGATTCCAGCACGCAAAAGTATCGCTGTTTAATTGTAACCAAATGGCACATAAAATAAATAAATACAATGACCGATAACAATAAAAAAAAGAGTGAAAAAGTGAGCAAGATAATTAAATAAAAGACTAAACGATTTACGTTCATTCGTAGAATACAAAAATACATGAAACAAGTCGAGCTGGACATACTGCAAAAGAAAGTAAAAAAAACAGAGAAAAGCTACAGTTTTACATTATATAACTGTAAAATATTTTATTTATATTTATTTTAGTTTCTCTTGGCATCTTCCAGACCCCCACATCTACATTGCGATTTGATTGACGATCTAATTTTTACAAAAAAAAATTGTATATATACTTGATCTTCATCTTTTCGATTCATGAGCTCGAAGTACACTCAAAACTTGATCACGTAATGGAATATTATCTCAAAAGCAGTGTTCTTAATCGTTCTTCGTTTATTCACCTTTTTCAATTTCCATTTTCTATCATCCAAGGAACAAGAAAGGATAGTATTGCAAAAAACGATTAACATTTCCTTCTTTCGTTCAAAGTCAAGATTCAAAGAATGAGTCTTCTAAATTAAGATTACTTTTTTGATAAAATGTGGTCTCATTTTGGAAAAGTGAGAGTGAGAGTGCCAAAAAATAGTGTAGTTTTTGGAGTACTCCTTTTGAGAACATGCACTACGAGTACTCTGGAGTAATTCTTAAAAAAGGGTTATCAAGATTACTCCTTTTTTGGAGCGGTCTTTTTGGGAGAAAGAGTATTCCTTTCTTTTTTATCCAAAAAAAGTGGTCCATCATACTTCTCGTGGTATTTTTTTTTTTGGCTAGATAACTACAGAAGTACCCAAATACCGTATTATTATGTAATGTCACATCACGTATTTTTCAGACGACTGATTTTTCACCTAAATCCTTGAAGGTTGTCTTCTTTTAGACGAATATAACAGCCTATAATATCGGCGAAAAGAAGAATTGGTAAAAAAATTGCCCAAAATAAGAAAAAAGTGTAGAAGAACAATATGGCTGATAGAAAATACGATGTAGAAAGTGTTTTTACATAGAATTCAACGAAAAAAAAAGATAAAAAGATGTTTCTCGCATCCTCAGTTATTAACAGTACTCTAAATCGATGTTTTCTTTCTCAATATGGCTGCTTTAACCAATAGAAGAAATGTGTACGTCCACATTTGTTTTTTACGTTACATTAACTGAAAGAAGTAAAAAAAATGTAACAGAACTGTTTCTTCCCTATACAGGAAGTGTTTCCAGCGCTTCAATGCAAGAACAAAAAGAAAAAGAAGAAAATTAATAGATTTTTTAATCTTACGAGTAGATTGTGCACCTCTTATTTTGCACGCAGAAACTTATGATCGATAAGCAGTTTCGTATAGAGAACCGGAAGGGAACGGTTTTGCAGAAAAGTTTCATCGATGACAAAAAATTTTCATATAATTTCTGCAGCATAAAACAGAGGAAAAGAACAGAGCAGTATGATCGTATCGCTGAAACTATCGTTTCTGCCTAAGGGTACCTCTCCCTCTTTTTGGGCTTTCCGTAGAAATGTTGTGAAATAAAAGCTAAAAGTCGCTAGGGCTCCGTATTTTCAGAACTGATTGGAAACTCAATGAAGCACTTTTCAGTTTTTATTTCAAGTTTTCAGCTATTGCTGTTCACCAGTTTTTTATTGTGCCACATTACGACCCCTCTTAAATTCATTGAATGGAGTTAAAAATTTTACCAGAGGTACTCAATGCCATATCGCAGAGGTACTTTTTGGGAAATTTTTTGAGACCTTTCCTGGTCGAGTTATACGAAAAATACTAAAAAACGTCTCAAAAACCAAGGTTTTCAATTTTAGAAAACCTATAAGTCGGTAAAGAAAGTCTAAAATAAAATTTCAAAAAATGATCGCTGCAATAGTATCTGGGGTATGTATGGTAAAATTTTGAACCTGATCGCATGACATTTAAAGGGGGTCGTAATATGGCACAACGAAGCCTGGTAGCAAAAAAATAGTTTTCGAGAAAAACCGCATTTTGTACGTAGGACACTTTTTTCAGAACATTTGCTGTGATGCTTATATTTCCGCGAGAACTCATAGGAAAATTCTGTAAAATGTCTCATTGTGAAGAAAATACTTTCTTCTATCAGACTATGTGTAAGAAACATTTTGTATGTACAAAAAATGAGAGAAAGCACAGCAGCGTGACTTAGTCGGCTAGTGGGCAGACAATGTACTTCAAACATACGAAGTTCGAATCCCGGGAACGGAGGTCGCGTAATAGTCTTGGACAAGCTATCTAATGTTCATTGTCTCGGTACCTTTGGACACAGATGCAATGGGATAACCCGATTTCAGTGTCATAGGACTGGAGAGATGACAGTTAGATTTTGAAAAAAAATAAGAGAAAGGTTTATCAAACTAAAAAATTGAGTTTTTTTAGAAGGAAAAACTTAAAAACTGCATAACTTTTGAGAAAAGGTCGTGGAGTACTGAGAGTGGTCTTATTTTGTAGCCCACACTTTCCTCTACATAAGGCTATGCTCAGCTCAAAATCCGAAATTTTACAAAACAGAGGGAGGGGGGTACCCTTAAAGGCACATGTCTGATAGTATTATTGCTGCTTGTTCTTGCCGTAAATAATTTAAAACAAATGAAGCAGAAGAGACTAGTTTCTATCCTTTATACTGTTCGCTCTTTTTCTAAAACAACCGCTGTTTAAGTTTTAATTGACTAAAAGGACTGAGTGATTGTTTGAAAAACGCTGTTTTGCTTTACCTTTTCTACCATGTAAGTGTTTATTTACTTGGAAATGCACTCCCTCATCTCGGATTGTCTGTCATAATCTGTGTAAACAATCAAAAAAGATAGTATATCTAAGCAGTTGAAATATTGAGAACCCACTTGCTTTAGCTATTGTTGCTTATCTTTGTCGTCTGTTTTTAACTTGGCAAAATAGACGTTTTAATTCATAAAAGAAGTTTGTTCTGATTTTGTGCGCTGATCAGTTTTAGTATAATAAAGCATAGAATAGAAAAAACTCAACCACAATTTTTCTCTTTCGTCGAAATTCAAACGTTTCAACTTGAGAAGAAAGAAAAAGGTTATTGAGTTTTTCTTTTTCCTCACGTGGAAACGTGGAAATTTTCTTTGTTGATGTCAAGCAAAAGAACGGTTAATCATATTTCAACTCAGTAGTAAGAGAGAAATTTAAAGAAACAAGTGTACCAACCATCTCAGTCGTTCGGGTCTATCTTCAAATGATCGAATAAAAAGACCTTCGGTTTAATAGAAAAATCAAGCGAATTAAACGTTGTGTGAGCATTTTCATTCGAAATGATATTACTATTGGATAAAGCATAATTACATTTCTCTCTGCACCACGCTGAGTCGAGTGCTAATGCTTGTTTTCGATTAAAACTCCCCGAACTTGATCAAGTTCAAGTTTTATGAAAATTAGAGTTTCGAAGGTAGTTTCACCTAACATTAAAAATTCACAATTCAATCAGAAAGCATCAGGATGAGCTGAGAACTTCAGAATGTAGAATATATAGACTATTCGTTACCCGATTTATAAAAGATCTACAAAGAATAATTTACAAAACTATACGAGTTTTTAGAAGTTTTTCTAGAAACATTTTAAACGAAACTATGACTTTTCAATTTTTTCGATCCCATAATCAAGCATAACAGACAAAAATAACCACAGTCTGAGGTTTCCAACTCATCTGTTGTTTTTTGAACAAATTGTAAGCTTTTTAATGTTAGGTAAAAGCGTCGTTGAAACATTAACTCTCGCTAAACTTGAGTTTCACAAGGTCTAAACATTCTTCTCCGAAATTTCCAGTGGATCCAAGGAAATCTGGTATTATGAAAAAAATGCCCTCAAGTCTCCTCTTTCCAATGGCGAAAATGGTTAGTCTCTACGTTTCTGCTATTGAAAGTTATTCGAAAAATGGTCAACGGCTCATCAAGTACAGGTGAAAAGAAACAGAACGAATAAAAGAAATATGTAAGACATTTTTAATCATAACTTTTTTCCTAGAGGATTGCCAACGAAGAACCAGGGAGCTTTTGTAGAGCACTCTCAGTTGGATATTTGATAGTGTTTATCTCAAAAAGAGTCACTCCGTTTTATTGAGAAAAAGAAGCTTTTTTATGACTAAAGTGCACCGAATAAGCCATAGTTGTTATTCATAAAGGCATGGTACATACAGTCGGAAATCTCTTTCGCTTTATACCGTACACTAGGAAAAATAAAATGTTGCGGAGATACCAATAAGGGATTTATGATATTTTGACAAACAAAGTAACCTAAACTAAAATGAAGTTTTTATTCAACTTACGCTCAAGATAATTTAGACTGTAAGGTAACTCTTTTTGTTCTTTTAACGTAATATAAAAGCGAATAAGGATTTGTTTGTCATTCTTTTTCGTTTATAATAGAACTATGTATGACACAATGTGTATATATATATATATAGATATTATGCAAGCAGCCAGCAAAAAAAGTTGACAATGACAACGTGTACATATACTATTTGTATTTATATAGAGTATAAAGAAATATATGTAAAAATTACCTGATACGAACAAATACACGTGCGTAAACATACACCAGTTAAAAACTGGTGTTAGGGCTTCCATGAAAATTGTTATAAGTCGGCTGTAAAGACTAATTCAGAGTCGCAGAATCTCTCATTTTGTAGAAAAATGTCTAGACTATAATTCCATATAAGTAAAAGGCTTTCAGCATTATCTGTGATCCCAATATGAGCATTCTAAAATGCACTAAAGTTAGAAAAAAACCCTGTTCGAACAGTTTTTTTTCTGTTTAGTGCATTTTAGAATGCTCACATTTTTGCTAGA